AGGGAGGGAGGGAGGGAGGGAGAGGTGGGCGGGGCGGGTTGAGGGACAGAGACAAAGACAGAGAGTGCAGAGAGTGCAGGGACTGCAGGGAGTGGAGAGAGTGCAAAGAGTGCAGAGAGTGCAGAGAGTGCAGAGACAGAGTATGGAGGACGGAGTATGGAGTACAGAGACAGAGATAGTGACAACGAGACACAGGCACAGACCCTTCTCGACTTCCACATCACGAAGCTTGGCCGGAGCGTCGAGCACACCAGTGGCAGTGGCACTCATCGCATCGTCAAAGCTCAACCGACGCTTTCTGCTGGGTGTCGCAACGGCCGCCTCCCCAGCAGGCAACAGCTCTTTTGTGGTCAGCCTTTTCCGATGGTCTTCTTCCATGCCCTTCTCTGTCGCGCTCTCTCGCATGCTCTCTAAATGAGAAACCCCCAGTGTGTGGAAACTCGGTGCGCGCCCTGACCGCCTCTGGCAAGTTGCCCTTCGGGGTCGAACTGAGCCGCTTGGGCGTCTCGCTGTTCAGCGGCGTGCCTGGATCCTGCATCGAAGGATCTCGTCAAAAACCTTGCAGAATAACTAACTCTCAGCGGCGGGAAAGGGGTCCCCCCCCCCCTCCGTTGAAGCCCTGTCTGCTTCTGCCTAAGAGTCTGTTTGTCTCTCTCCTCCGCCGAGCTGGTTTTCTGCAGCACGCGCTTGGGCTTGGAGTCCTCGGAAGCCGAAAAATCCGAGACTCGGAGTGTTGGCTCGAGAAGCGGTTCGGGCCCCCGGGGGCTCGCACAACGGAGTCGGGTCCCGGCGAGGCCGCTGCCTGGGAAGATAGCGAAGATGAGCGCACGAAGCGTTCTGCGAAGCCGCATGCGGCAGGGCAAGAGAACAGGATCCGAGCCACGAGGGGGACGCGAGACGGCGAGGATGCGAGACATAAAGACATAACGACAACGAACAAGGACAGGAGATCTGATGATAGGCACGAGCATCCAACACACGAGACACGGAGAGGGACAAGAATCAGACAGGACAGCGAGCAAATGTCAAGAGGACTGAGATGCTAGCTGCTAGCTGAACACGACACTGCAAACGATGGCGAAGTCTTCGCAGTTTCGCATACACAAGCGGGCACGATCTGGCGCAAAAGCTCAAGCTCGAACCCCTCACATGAAAACAAGCCCCATGGGCAGCCTTGGCCAGGGAGCTGCGCCGTCGGGGTCGTCTCGGAACAACCTCGGAAGCTCTCAGCCGGCGCAAACGCTCATCCTGCCATGTGCTCACGCACGCTTCAGAGGCTCGCGCGGCGCCGCAGCGGGGTTTCTCGACCACCATCCTGACTTTTGGAAAAGCGTGATCCTGGCCGCGATGGGCGGCTTGGGGCCCGACTGCTGCCACTCGCCGAAGCCTCGTTCTCGCGAGGCGAAGAAGGACAGGGACAGCAGAGGGGGGCCCATCGGGATGCCATCGGGTCCCCCACTCTTCCAGCGCGCCCTCACTGCGTCTCGTGCACTGGGATCGCTTTCGTTCGGGGCCAGAACCTCACGTCGCACGTCCCACAGGGGGATGGAGCCTGGCGCCAGGCCTTGGAGCTCGCCAAAGACTGCAGGAAGATGCCTGGAGGTCCCAGGGATATCAGGGGCCGTGCAAAAGGCGACACCCCGGGACCCGCACGGCAGCGATGACGGACCTGCGCTTAAGAGGATGGTCAGGAAATTGGGGTCTGAGGTGCAATCAGTGTAATCGTACTGCTTCATGCCGCACCTCACAGGCCACGCCAGCAGTGCGGACGACGAAAGCGCAGGGAGCGGTGGCCTGCGCGAAGTCCGCCAAGACCTCTGCGTTGCCGGCACTTATATTTCCAGCAGTTCCCTCTGATAAGTTGCCGCTCCTTCCGCCCGGAGATGCCAACGAAGCAGCCTGTGTGGGCCTCAAACGCAGCCGAAGTAGAGCTCAGAACCCCCTTCTTCCAGGGGCGTGGCCAGGAGGCAAATCACATCCCCATCTTTGATTCCACAGGCCAAGGTTGGACTTGCCTCGCGACATCAAGGTCGCGTCGCCAAAACTCATGCCCCAAATCGAAAGCTGCTGACCGAGCTGCGCTCGTCTCTGCTGTGGAGCTTGATGCCGAAATCCGCGAGGAAGAGGACCCCAAGTAAGGGCACACCATGAACTGCTGCCATTGCCCACGGTCCCCGTAGCGTGCGCGGACCTTGGCACCTTCCACGTCCAGATAGCGCCCGTGGAAGGCACGCAAATACCTTACCCAAGCAGCTTGAGAGAAGGTCCATTCTGGGCCAATCTTCTGAAGTGAAGTGCTCTAAGGCACACGGTGTCTCCCAAGTGGATCCTTTCATCCCAGGCGGGCTCATCAAAGACGGCCTACAAAAACTTCGAGACGGTGCCCTGTACCGCTGCGATCCACACGGACGGTTTGAGAGCCTCCAAGGGATCCAAGAGCGTGGCCACGGCCGGGTCCCGCGGCGGGGTCCGCAGGCGGCTCAAGCGGCGCTTGGGCGTTGCAGGCGTGCTGGGGGCCACGAGCGCCTCGGAGCGAAAAGAAGGCCCCTCAGCAGGTTGCGATGGCCGAGGATGGCCAAAGGCCCCCGGCCGAGTCCGGTGTGCCGGGACATCGCGGTGCCGGCGACAGCGGTGCGAGCGGCGGAAGAGATGGCAGTCCTGGCAGCTCGCGACCTCGAAAGCCAGAGTTCCCGAAGCCTTGCAGGAAAAAGAAGGGCCGAGCCACCGGCGCAAGGCTCGCCCCGAAGGGAGCAAAGACTTCTCCACAGCCTGCTGCCTGGCATGTTCAAGGACACGAACAGGACCACAAAGACAGCCATGGAAGGAACGAGGCAGTCTCCCAGACGCGGCCAAGCGTGCAGGAAGTGCCAGTCCCATTCAGCACCTGGTCTTCATAGAGGGCCCGTCATGCCACGTCATGAGCCGTTATGAAAGGGAACGGACATCAGATCACGTCAGCTCTCTTTTCCTACTCAAAGCTCTATAAATCTTCAGCCCCGCGCTCTTCGGCCGGTCGCTCCAGCTCCAGAAGAACCACCCATGGGAGGACTGCACAGCGAAGGGCCACGCAATTCTTCTCGCAAGCGTAGAAAGAGACAAGACAGACAGAGAGAGAGAGAGAGAGAGAGAGAGAGAGAGACAGAGAGAGAGAGACGGAGAGAGAGAGACGGAGAGAGAGAGTTGAGCGCTGCGGGCCAATGCCGGCTCCTCGCGGTAGGCAGCGAGCTGTGCGTTGGCGAAAAGGGTCAGCATCTCATCCTGATGTGACGTAGTCGGAGCAACGCGAGAGGGAAGAGTCCGGGAGAGCTGGAGCTGAAGAGCCCCCCGCTTTGGAGATCTTGCCAGGAATCGATCCGCAGCCTAATGCAAGGCTCCACCTTGGCATATGCTTTGGCACTAACGCTCCAGAGCCCTCAGAGCAGAGGAAACCGCGAAACCGCAGCCTTTTCAAGTCCGACTCTTCGCGACGCCTATCCGAGAGACTGGTACGGGTCTGCCACAGCTTGGTCACCTTCCGGCACAAGCGGAAAGGCCCATGCATCTGGATCTGGACGATCCTCGGAAAAGGCAAAAAGGATTCATGATTCCGCTACCCGCTACAAGTATAGTTGCCTAAATTTGAGTACGGAAGGGACAAAAAATGGCAAGAGGAGTCAAGGCCGCGCGGCTCCCCGGAACCAGCGCGCGGCCCCCCGACGGGCCACGGACCTCTGTTTGCGCTGGCGGACCTTCGCACGCCTCGGTCCCGGGCTCCCACCCACCCACACTGGAAGCTCTCGCACCCAGTTCTTCGTATCTCTGCCCTCACTTTGCATCCAAGTGTCCACTCCTGTTGACAACGCTCCTCTTCTTCTGGCCCGCCTGCTAATTCCCACTCAGCGTGTAGACGCTGCTCCTGTCAAGATACCGAGGATGCCAGGGTACCGTGCTATGTTCCCCCTTCGTAATACCGACGTGGCTTGCATGTCTCCTCGAGCTGCGCTTTCCGCTCTTTCTCGCAGAGGGCGAGTGTTGAAAGGGAGGACTGGCAACAGGGCGCAGCAATCAGTTCGTTGAACTCCGGACTCTATGGACCGCGCCTGAGGCTCGATGCGCTGCATGAGGAACCACTCGATCTCGTTCCTGCGCTCCGACTTCGAGAACTTCTCCAAGGCCACCCTGTACTTCTCGCGGGCCCGGCGCGTTCGCTCCGCCAAAGCAGGGGCCGACGCCTCTGCCTTCGTCCCTTTGGCCTCCGGCTCTGCGATCGCAGAGTCCGGCTCGCCAGCGCTGGCCACTGCCTGCGCCTCCGCCTCCTCGCTCGGTGCTCCCGGCCGGGTCGTCTGCGGCTGCACCTCAATCACCTCGATGTCCACTTCCACCGCCTCGGCCGCGGCCCGGTCCTCGGATTGGCGCCACTGCACAAGCTGCTGCAGGGCTCGAATGGCTCGATCCTCGGACGTCCCGAGCCCGAGCCCGGCCCCGAGTCCCAGCGACTTCCGCTTGGGGCGCCTCCGCGGCCCGCCGCGCGCGGCGCGTGCGGAATGTCGCGGCAACTCGAGTTCCCACCAGAGGTCTGCGTGGTCCACGTCGGGCATCGAGAAATCTGGTGGAGTCAAGGGCACCGCCCCCGACTCTTCCGCAAACTGCGCAGCACGCTTGGCCGCCCTCTCTTGGCGCTTCTGCCTCCTCAGCTTTCCGAGGCGCTGCCCCACATCGCGCTGCGTGTAAACCTGGAAACCTTCGAACAGCGTCCAGTCGATTCGAGAGTCCGGCTCGAGGACTCGTCGTTTTCTTGGCTTTCGCAACTCATCTAGCAAAGTCTCCCGAAGCTCGTCGATTTCCGACTTCCCGGCATGCTCCGTCATTCCACTCCGTTGGCCCTCACTACTCGCTCCGCCAGCTCCCCGCTCTCGGCCAGCAAGGCCCTTTTTCGCTCGCTTCTCCAGCCGGCGCTGCAGCTGCAGCCTCCGCTCCTCGCGCCGGCGCTCCTTCTGTCGGCGCCGGTGCAGCTCGTGCTCTTTCTTCAGCTCCTGCAGCTCCTCCAAAGTCCGTGTTTCTGACAGGTCGAGTGGCCGCTTCTTGAGATCCACCGTGGCCTCTAGCGCCACACGTCTCGCTAGCACCTCGCCCTGCATGCTGTGCGCTTTTGCTGGGGCCGGCGTTGCTGGGGCCGGTAGGGGGGTGCCTGGCACGTTTCCAGGCGTCCCAGGGCCCCGTCCAGGCGTCCCAGGACCCCTAGTCACAGAAGGATCTTTTCGCGGCTCCTCGCGGCCTTTTTTCGCCTCCTTGGGCGGCTGTTCCTGGACGGATTGGGCGGATTGCTTTGCGCGTTGCAGGGCCACCGTGGCCGCCTTCAGTTCGCGCTCTGCTTTTGTAGCGCAGCCACACATGCCCCCTGTCACACCACAGCAGCTTATGTCACGTAAGGTCCCAGAGATCATCTGCAGAATTCCTGATGCCTTCTTCATGTGATCGATGTCGGCTTGGGGAGTTCCAGCAGCTTGCATCTGATGCACTCTGACAGCCATAGCTGCCTGAACCTCAGCAGTCGCTCTAGCCAGCCTGTTGGGGAAGCTTGATACAAGCGCTGCTATATCCGGCAACATTGCAAGTTGGTCTCTGTGCAGCTAGAAACATGTCCGTCTTTCAACCCATTCTGATTAGAGCTGTGAAGTCCTACTTGTTGAGCTTCGACTCTCTTTGGCTGAGCTAGGGAATCACGGGGAGCAACTCAGGGGGCCGACAGGAACCCTTTGCTGTCTCAGCACCGAACCTCCAGATCGAAATTGCCCAGAAATGTGCGCTCGCCATTTTTGGTGACGGCGGCACTCCAGTGACTTTTACATTTCCGCACGTTCAGATATCGACACTGTCCACCTCGCGATGCTGGAAGACCCAGCGCACTTGCCAGCTCGCCGATGCGCTGGGCCAGATCCCCACCGCCCGTGCTTTGTGGGGTCCCTGCGGCCTCTGCCATGGCACAGCAGCGCCATTGGAAGTGTGTTAGTTTACCCGGTGCAACTAAGTAAGTGCAAGGCTCACACACCGCACAAGGGTCGCGAAAACCTCTCTCAGTCTTGACCTGCCTTGAGCAACCTAACCTGCGGCTGAAGCTTGAGCAAGGACGATGTTGCTGGCTCTGCGCAGCTTGGCGCAAAATGGAGACGACACCAGAGGAAGTGCGGAACATGGTGGAACCCTGGGTGCGCAGCTCGCCCACGACGATGGGAAAGCGCCGGAGCTCTTCGGCATGCTCCTGCACCTGAAAGGAACGCGCTGAGGGGAAAGGAGGGCGGCACTACAGTACCAGTGACGATGCTTTCCTCTCAGCCTGCGGATGCATTTCCGCTTTTGTTCTGCTTCGGCAAGTTTGCTGGGTCCGTGCCGTGGTGCATTGGCATAAAGCGTCGGCTACAGCCTGGCGCATCCTTTAGGTTGCAGTTTGCCTTCTGACCTTCTTCGGTCCCTCCGTCGATTCTCCCTTCGTGCCATGTGCATCCTGAGCTTGTGGCCTCTTGATGCTTTCCGTTCCTTGCAGATGCTTCATTCACAGTTTCGTCTTTGTCCATCTCACTGTTGCGCTGGCCTTGTTGGCTGCTACATTTTCCAGTGCTGCCACAGCACATTTCCTTTTCTATATAGGACGCGGCTCTGTTGTTCAAAGCCACTCGCATTGCAGCCAGAGCACGGCACGTAGGTGCTGCGCGAAGGTCCGGCCATGCCACTCGTTTTCGAAGCAGTGATACCTAGCAGTGTCAGAAATTCCACTACCCTAAGATGTAGACTCCTTAAATACCAAGACTGGCCGCTAAATAAGGCAACCTTAAGTTGAGGTCTGAGGACCTGAAAGCACGGGGATAGGTCTACAAAGTCGCCAGGACAGTCAGCTGTCGGGTCTCAGAACAGGGCCAGTGGACTTCGAAGCAAACCTCGGGGCAAACTTATGCGGGAAATGTGTGCAAAAAAAACCCGAGCTGGGTCTGCTGCATTGGAGTGGCACTTGCCACTCTTCTCCTGTCAAGACTCCAAAGTTAGGCCGAACACAGCCCCTCCGTGCAGCCCTCCGCGTTGCTTTGCGCCTCCCACTGAGCCACGAAGCTTGGGAGGGGCCGCTGAAAGACTGGCCTTCCAGGAGTTCCCCGCACCCCTAGGCACGTTCCTCAAAAAACCCCAAAAGGCACGGGCAAGACCACCGTCATGTCGTCCCGCCCGGCGCGTCGAATGGCCCGGACCTAAGCGAGCTAAGCCAGCAGTACGCAATAGTGTGCATGTATGTATGTATGCATGCATGCATGCATGCATGCATGCATGCATGCATGCATGTATGGATGTGTGTATGTATTTGCCCTTTTCGGGCCCCTAATCATTCTCGCCGGACCTGAATCTATGGCAAGAAGTGCGCGTCTACCGGGCACAAGCCTTGGCGAAAAAGATTTATGGAATGTATGCGAAGAGAGGGACCACTTCTTGCCACATCCGTGGCTCAAGACCACAGGCAACTTGTGTGCTGCATAGAGAAAGGCACTGCAGCGAACCTTCGAAGTTACTTTAGCTTCCAAGGCCGAGTGAGCTCTCCACAGTACCAGTGTACTTTTTTTGGTTGGTTGGGTGGGTGGGTGGGTGGACAACAAAGGGGTTCGGTCATGTGCATCACTGGGATGGAGACGGCACGGTCGTAGAAGGTGCAGAGCACATCTGTCGGGACCTTGTGCCCAAGCCGCCCCACATCCATCGCATGCAGATGTCAAGAACCGTGCCTCTGGTGATGGTTCGTTGCCTCAAGCACTTTCAAGCAGGGACGTCCACGAAAGCCGATTTTATGCTGGGTCATCGGGCAAACGGCGATTCCCGTCACCACCCTCCGGCTGCGATAGCGGCGAGCAACAATGCGAAGAGCCCGCAAGGACTCCTGGGCACGCACGGGAAAGAAGTAGAATCATCAACCGTGATCGAATGCCTCCATCCGCCAGCTCTTCCAATGCCACTTCAAAGGAGATCGCTGCTTGCGACCTGGGACACCGCACCATGTGACACCATGGAAAAACAGATTGACTTCATCCTGGCACCGCACCACAAGGCGCCTCGCCACTCTCCCCGCCCGGTGCTCCGTGGAGGTCGAGCAGCACCTGATCCCATCGCTGCAGTGCATCTTGCACACTTGCGACAGAACTTCAACGCGAGAGCTGAGACGTGGGCTTGGAGCCCACACTCCTCAGCCTCAGAGGCACAGAGGCAGGGAGAGATCCGAACCTTCCCGCAGCGGAACAAAGGCTCCTGGCCCAATTCACGGCACGATCCAGGAAGCGAAGGGCGGGTCCCTGCACTTCAGCGCAGTAAAGTGAAGTCTTTTCTTATGAGCTCCCTTGGAGCCTCGTACGGATCCCGTGGCGCGCGGGGCCGTCGAGGGGGCCCTTTTGCGTGGCCTCTTTTGAGGGAACCCGCGGCTCTCTCTCAGGCTTTGTGGGGCTTTCCGAGGCCCTCTTGCCTGGCCCCACCTTCAGCCGCAAGCGGCTTCTCGCGGCCAGCTTCGAAGCCGCCGAGACACTGGCCGAGGCTGCTCTTGGTAAACGGACGCAGAGCTTGTATCAAGACTGCCTTCTGTCTCGCGTGCTTCCCAGCACAAGCCTCGGTGAGGCATGTGTCCAGACTCACGCCCTCCAATTCCGCAAGCGGTATTAACGCTATATCCGAGCTGCCAGTATCCAAACGGCACTCTCACAGCATTCAAGCCTGCTGCCTGGAACAATGATAGCTGCAGCTTTCTTCGTTGCGGGGGCGGTGCCGTGGCCGCCTGGATGGCTTGGAAGTCACGCCGCGTCACGAAGGTCTCCCTGTGCTTGCGCAAGGCTTTCAGCCCCTCGGCCCCACGCCTGGGCGTGTGTCTCGCTGACACAGGAGGCCCAGGCATCCCAAGAGAGGGTGCCGAGGGCGCCTGCGAAGCCGCTGCATCAGCTCCCACTCGCACTGGGGAGGCCCGCGCTCCGAGTCCTGGCGGAAAGCTTGGTCAGTTAGTAGTCCTCCACAACTTCTTGGGTGTAAGAAACGGACTCCGCTCCTGCACACTCCGGAAGAGCTGCCAGGAGGGGCCCGGCTCCTCTTCAGGCAATTTGGGCTCGCTGCGGCCGCAAGTGACGGTACCCCGTCCAGCAGCAGCCAGCCACCGAGGCTCACTCCACGCCACGGCCTGCAGAGAAGGTAACCCCGTCTCAAAGAAGACCATCACGGAAGATCACGGAAGTACCACACCTCTCTCGGGACATGTCCGTCATGGAGCCGCTGAGAATCTATGAGCCCAACGCCTCTGAATGACTCTGTGTTGTGCCTGGAAGCTTGCGGCATCTTTGAACAGAGCTTTGCGATGCGCTGTAATTCGATTGCGTTTGCTCCTCTCCTCTTGCGGTTCTGGATCCCGGCTGATGGGAACGGATCACCAACTCACGCATGATCATGCGACGGCAGACCATGTCAGGCAGAGGAAGCTCTTTCCGCTCGAATCAGGAGTCTCGGGATCGAAAAGAGTGAAAACTGGGGGGTAATAAGTTAAAACTCTCAGGCCGAGGAAACCCAGACCGGCTTGCCGGTGAAGGAAAAGACGCCTGAGTTCTGCGGAGTCCTCAGCATTCTCAGCAGGGGAAAGTATCGCCATCGACTCTGCAACTTTTTCTTGTAACTTTTTCGTGTCGGGCCGCCGTGTCACCGTGCGAGTGGACTTAGTTGCTGAAGGCTTCTCCACGCCTTGGCCGTGAGCCGATCCGCAACCGCAAGCATGCCGCCGCCCAGTGCAGCCAACGGGCACGGGAGGCTTGATGAGGCCGATGCCGACACCCAGAGCAACACCTGCAAGCCTGCGTTCCATGCAGGCGGGGGAAGCCAAGCAGAGACTCCGAGAGTGCAGCCGAGAGGCCCAGGAAGGGCCAGCAGAAGAGCCACGAGCCTCGGCACTCCGGGAAGCGCCCGTCGCTCTGCTTTCGGGAATTCCCGCTCTCTTGGGCTGCCGAGCACTCCGTAGCTCGGCAGCAGCGTCAAGGCGGCCAGGGCGGCGCCCAGCAGCACGAGGCCTCCCAGCCCCGGCAAAGCGCCACCGCCCTTGCTGGCAGCCAAACCTCGGGGTATGGCCCAGGCCATCTGAGTGGAAGGGAAGCCCAGGAAGAGGGAGGGTCGATCCCCTGCAAAGAGATGGATGCAGCTGCGCAGCTCTCGACTTGAGACAGGACTCCAAGGGACTCCAAAGTGCTCAGCCTCATGCATTGGAACTCTCGTACCGCATACGTGCATGCATGAAAGTATGTCAGGAAGTATGATCGTGGTCCAGTATCTACTGACAGTGGGGCCCCAGGCAGCTTGAGGTTCTCTGTGAGCGTCAGCGGCCTGTCCACGAGGGAACCTGCGAGGCCTCTGCAGGCGTCGCAGGCCAAGTAGAAGCAGAAAGCTTCCTTTTCGCTGAGGCTGTGGCTGAGCAGGCGGTTCTCTTCCAGGAAGGACAGGACTTTCTTCTGCTCGACGGTCTGGCACGGAGAGAAGGTCGTGGGAAAGGTTGTCGCGAGTCCGGTGCAGCCCGGGGGCCTCCAGCAGAGAAGCAGAGCGAAGGACCTCCTGAGACTGGAAGCCGCCCTCGCCGTAGCTGACTTCCTCGGGACAAAGAGCTGGGGCGGAGAGGCGGGGAGGCGGAGTGCGCTCTCCTTCTCGGTGACGTCGATGGGGCGAGTCCTCGAATTGGGAGCCGGCGAGTCTCGAAAAGTCTCTGCACTCTGGCGCCCTGCGCTTTTGTCTGTCCTCCGGGTGCCCCCGAAGACCAAGAGAATCACCAAGGCCGCGCCGCCCAGGAGCAGGGCCGGAGCCCCCAAGGCACCTCAGGGAGCGGGCGAGGCCCCTCCTCCTCTTGAAGGCTTTCGGAAACCGGACCTGTGAGGAAGTACTGGAAGAAGGAGCCCTCGGGGTAGGTGGCGCAGAGGAAGGACCCGGCCGCCAAGATGCCGGCTCCTCGCAGAGTGCCAAGCTGCTACTGCAACACCAAGGGCAGAGAAAGGCGGCTCCTGCGAGCACGAGGAAGGGGGTGGAACCGTTCGTCAAGACCTGTGACTCCCCAAGTCCATGGGAAACCAGTTTCGCACCCCAAATGGCCCAATTTTTTTGGCTTCGGCCGTGACACGTTCTCTGCCAGGCTCAGCAAGTTCAGCCTCTCTGCCAACTTCAAGAGCCCCAGCTCCTGACCAGAACTCACGGCTCGCCCTAAGCCCTAAGCTCAGAAGTGAAAACATCGGGCGAGCCTCAACCGTGCTGACCTTGATGCCAGCCTTCTCCGCCCCCGAGAGAAGGCCCAGGTCTCAGCTCCAGGTCTCTGCGCTGAAAAGTGACGTCTTCTCCCGGGCCCCCCCGCTCTCGACGGTGGACAGCAGGCCCTTCTGCTCCAAGACCTGGAGTGCTCCGCTGTGCGGTGAGCCGTGCTTTTTCACGGCCCCTTCACGCTGCTGGCGCAGCCTGGATGAGGCTGGGAGAGCCGGGGTTCGCGCGGACGGTGACCTGGAAGAGCAAGGAATCCGCCCAAGGATGACACACAAAAGGGACCCACAGGTCGAGACGTGGATGAGGAGGATGAGGATGAGGATGAGGATGAGGATGAGGATGAGGATGAGGATGAGGATGAGGATGGGGAGGATGAGGATGAAGATGATGATGACGATGATGATGATGATGATGATGAGCAATCATCATCAGCAACAACGACATCATCACCATCATCATCATCATCATCAGAAGCATCATGAATATCGGCGCCGTCTTCATCCTAATCATCACCAGCCATTCCACCGTCCGGGCGCGCCGCTCGCGAGGAGCGAGAAGCCAAGGCCACCAAGGCGGCGCTGCTGGCCTTGGAGTTCCAAAGCGGCATGGACTTCTCTTCGCTTCTTCTCTGGTAGTCTTTCGCTGCTACGCCTCACATCGCGCGTGAAGACGGAGGCTGTAACTGTGCACAAGATCAACTCAACAGCTTCTAAAGAACTGGCTTCACATCGGCGTGAAACTAACGACTGGCGCATTCCACCAAAAACTCTCTTCGTCTCATTCTGTCTCTCTATCACTCCCCTACGCTCTCATTCTCACCCACACAAACAGGGTGGTTGAGCCGGTCCGAATACTCAAACCGTTCATTGCATGATTCGGGAGCGATCTCGTTAGGATTGGCAAGGAATTGTCACCACTGTCCGTAGCATGAGCCAGAGACAGAAAGACAAAGGAAAGCGAGAAATATCTCTCTTTCTTCCTTCGGGCTTAAGGGGCGTCTCAAGCCCCCCGGCCGCAAGGGGCCCCCCAGTTTTTGGGGCTTTCGGGGGAAGGCAACAGTCGGCAGGGGAATTTTGTCCCACTCTTCTTCCTTCGGGTGTAAGGGGAGTGTCAATCCCCCTTTCCCATTGGGCCCCCCAATATTTGGGGCTTTGGAGGCAGTCGGGCAACAGCTACACGTACGGGGACAACTGTACGTACCAATGCACCAAAATCAAGAGTCTCACAACACCCGAGTTTGTCCCACTCTCTCTCTCTCTCTCTCTCTACCGGGACAGGAGAGGCAGGGACGAACCCAACCCCTCCGCGCGCGTGCGCGCATCTCTCTCTCTCTCTCTCTCTCTCTCTGGCACACCAGAAAACCAACTAACAAATGGGGCTCCTGCTACTCCGCACGCAGCCGCGAGGACGGAACCAGGTTGGGCAAAAGCATCCGGCTTCCCCGACACACGTGCGCCCTGCGCGACACGAGTTTCCACGCCTCATTCTGAGCGGAACAGCGAATGCCGGCCGGGTTCCCCGCCGTCTGGCTGATGCCGGCGCGGCCTACAAAGAACGAGGATACCGGCATGGACGGTCTGAGGGAGATCAGGCGCAGCGGGGGCAGTCAGGTCGGCCTGGCGCCGGTGCCACGAACGCCCATTGGCAGAGGCCATGGAGCGCCACGGCCTGCGAGCCCGCAACGATTCTCTGCCACAGTGCAAGCAAGGGAGCTCACCAGCGTGGCCGCCAAAGCAACGGATCCAAGCACCTCGGGAACAGACTCTGTGACTCGTTCTTCAACTGACCCCTGAGGCTCTGAGGCTAAAGCAGGTCGGCGGGCCATGGCGAAGCAATGTAGGACCCTAGGACTGCTGCTGAGGGCTCCGAAGATCCAAGATGCGTCACGCCAGCGTCAGCTGCGAGGTCACACACCTGCCCTGTCATGCACATCGACACACAATCAAACCGCTATGCTTCCATTTTGGCTCTGAAAAACTATTCTGCCGTGAACGAGTCTTTAACAATCTGTACAGCCGTACACCATCACACCATGCTTGGCAGAAAACGAAAACGCGAAACGATGTACAAAAAATTGTTGCTGCTAGTGGCGGTGCAGCATAAATGTGCTTCAAAAGCGCTTCTCATTTCTTGTCCCTCATGTAATTGAAGTAACCCTTCCGTGAGACTTTCTTGGATTGGGCAACCTCCGGTTCAGGAGCGGCAGGTTCCGCAGCTGCCTCATAGCAGATGTAGCGGGAGTCAAAAATCATCTCGCTTGGGATCTACCCGTCTTTTACTTGGCAGACTTCGGAAACAAACACCAAACAAACTCTCCACCCGCCTTCGGTGCTGCCGCCTTGTCAGCTGCTGCCTTGTCCGCCTTTGCCTTCGCCTCTGCTGCCGCCTTGTCAGCTGCAGCCTTGTCAGCCGCAGCCTTGTCTGCCGCTGCCTTGTCAGCTGCGGCCTTGTCTGCCGCCGCCTTCTTCTCCGCTTCCGCCTTGTCAGCTGCGGCCTTGTCTGCCGCCGCCTTCTCCGCTGCCGCCTTGTCAGCTGCGGCCTTGTCTGCCGCTGCCTTGTCAGCCGCTGCCTTGTCAGCTGCGGCCTTGTCTGCCGCCGCCTTCTTCTCCGCTTCTGCCTTGTCAGCTGCGGCCTTGTCTGCCGCCGCCTTCTCCGCTGCCGCCTTGTCAGCTGCGGCCTTGTCTGCCGCTGCCTTATCTGCCGCTTCCTTGTCTGCTGAGGCCTGGTGAAAGCAGGATGCCACACTTTCCGTCTAAGCGCGGTATTCACCGCTGCAAAAAGCTATGGTCACCTGTTCTCTTGCTTGCGGAAGCTTCACTTCTAAATGCCGGTTTCCACATGGCGAGTTTGACAAAACGCTGCAGGCAGCCTTCACACATCTCGGAAACTCGGAAACATTAAACCGTCTCCCAAGCCTCTCCTTCGATATTTCGACATGCTCGATGCGAGGTCATGCATTGAGCCCTTCGAGCCTTCTGACAGGCATCCTAAACCTTCCTTGCAGCTGGACGAACTCCTGATGTACCCGGACATTGCTCCTCGAGCCACCCTTCTGTTCCGACTCGTTTTTTCCTGAAAAGGCACCCACCACACGTGCGTTGCAGACGCTCGATCAGCTCCTGACATCTCAAAACCCCCTTGCCTGTTCCCCATCAACCCTGTATGACCCCGTGCTGCTGCGACTGCTCGGCTCTAGGGAACTCATGGCTCAACACACCCAGCAACTTGTGCGCCGTGATCCTTCGTGCTGTCTCCCGAACCCCGAGCCCCGATCCTGCCCTGCGTGGCAGGATCATCCTGAGATGAAGCACGAGTGTGACGGTACATGGTCTCTTCTGGCCTTGGCGGGGGCGGTCGTGGTCACGACCTCCTGAAAGGACTGGGCAGCTCCCAGCATCATTCCCCTTATGCAGTGCATATATTCGCAAAGAACAGTCCTGGACCACCTTCTCACTGCCGAAAGAGTCTCCGATCTCGGCTTCGCACACTTAGGCGGTTAGGCCGTCGGCTTCGTGGGGCCTAAGGATCCGGCCGAGGAGATCACGGAACCTGCGACCAGCGCGGCCGCTCCGACGCCCGCTACCGTCCTGGGGGCAGAGAGCGCTCCAAGCTGGGAGCGAAGTGGAACTCTGGGCGTCCGCGCAGGATCGGGCCGACGGGGAGGGCGTTCGCCTCCCGAGCCCTCCTGACAAAGAACAGTGCCCTGAAGCCTAAGCATCGTATGAACCAACTCTCTTGTCAGCAGCCAAAGGCAAAGGGAAGCGGTCTAACATACGAGCTCACACACAAGCCGACTCTGCCCAGAAGAACCTCTCGGCATCTTCCCGCTGCTTCTCGGAAATCCGGCTGTTCACCACCTGAGACGCAAGCGGCTCTCTGAGCTTAAAACGAAACAAAAGGAAGAGGGGAGAGAAGTCCCCGTGTCTCCGAAGCTCCGAATTCGAAGAACGAGTCGCTCCCGCTACTCCCAGGGCCGGCAGAGCCAGTGCCACCGCTGCTCCTCAGCTGAGCTTTAAATCGTGGAAAGCTGAAAGCGTAAGCACGGCTGTTGGGAAAGCGGCCCCGTCCCGCCCCGCAAGTTCTCGGGGTGTGGATTTCTGTCACACGAGGCTTTGGTGCAAAACCAAGCTCGAATTCTTGCACGTTTCACACCGCGTTTGGGCAACATGTTGGTGCCCTGACAAGAAAGTTCCCTGCCGCTGCCGCGGTGCCTGAATGATCCATATGTTGCGACAGCCATGCTCGATCCAGGACTTTTGCAACCCTCAGAGGCTCCTGAGGCGATGCCGACGCCCGCGTCGCCGCTGAGCTCCGGGGCAGCGACGCCCTCAGAAGGCTCGCAGCAAAGGCTGAGGCGGGAGCGGAGCTGCCCAAGCTGCCCGGCCGGAGCACTCGGCAGGGAAGGGAGCCCAAAGGAAGGCAGGTCCGGCAGGCCCGCCAGCTTGAAGCCACCGGACTCCTGCCGGCCAGAGGCGCCACCAAGGTCTCAGCACAGTGTAGGGAATTTGTGCAAGGCTCCTTCTGCAGGCTCTTGCGCACCTTCGACCGGGCCCTTACTGCACGGAGTCTGCGCCAAAGCATCAAAAGACGAGAACAAGAACCTCCGAGTCTGGGCCGTAATCAAAGCCGAGCCTCGGCCTCACATCGTTGAACTCAGTGCCAAGAGCCTGGCGACGACATTTCACCACCTACACTTGCAAAAGCTCACAAGCGCAATTCAATGTCTTGTGCTTTGCGATTGCAGTCGTGGAACATCCATCGTGGAGCCCTCTGTGTACTTGAGGAGATCATCCTGCACGTTCATGACCGCCACATGAAACAAGCCGCTCTGGGTTGCTGCCCCGGTGTCCTTGGTGGTGCGCACCTGAGCCACAGCCACATCTATCAATGTCTCTCGTGTCACGCATGCTTTTTGGAGGCAGGTTCTGCATGGCGATCGCCGCATCGCCATGCCCTGCCTTCGTCTTAGTGAACTCGTCCACCTTCTTCGCATCTGCCTGACTGTAGGATTATCCACGCAGCGAGCCGGCAAGCGGCGCTAACCCAAGGTGGCGGCCAGCAGCTCCTTCTTTGCCTTCTCCTTGGCTGGGCTCGGGCTCGCAGCCAGCACCACCTGAAATACAGGCTACAGCGGCATGCAGCCACCACCCAACGAGGCTGCTGGCAAACACGCGTATCGAGCCCGCCTGAGACTCCACGTCGGCGTACCTGCTAAAAGATTAAAATCGCAGGAAGCTGCGCGAGACTCCGGCCCGCGAGCGAGGCGCCTGTCTTCGGCTCGGACTGCTGGTGCCTGCACCAAAGGACCCGCCCACACGGGCCCCACTTAAGAGCCCCAGCCCCAGAACTTTGCAGAACTGGGCCTGCGCCAAAGCCAGGACAAGGCCCAGGACGGCTCCAGCCGTCAAGGCGTGCGAAGATGCCGACGACAGCCAGCGAAAAGGCGTGTCCTCGTCTCACAAAGTAAGTCCTGCATGCTACTATTGAAGCCAAATTTTGACCAAATTTGCCGAGAAACTTCCGGCAGTGGCTGTGGAGCGTCACCCAAACTCTTCGAGCGCACACTTGGCTCGGAAGATGTCCCCGGCCTGTTCCCAAAGTTGTTGACAATACTATAACGAAATCCCCTTCAGGCGCCTGCTTTGCACAAAAGCGGTGGCGGCGACGGTGCCGAACCTTGCAACCCCAAACGACCAGGAAGATGGCGCTGCAGACCATCCGAGCACCGGACGTCAGCAGGAAGGCGAGCTTGACAAGCCACCCCTGCATCTCGCGGCGCTCCTCAACATGGAGTTCCGTTACAAAATGTGCAACAACGCGCCACCACTGCGTTCAGCAATGATGCTATTCCCACGGCAAGTGTTGTCCCAGCTCCCCCAGTGTAAGACTTCCAATGCACGTACGTACATCATATACAAATGCCGGTCCATGATCACAGCAGCTGGCGCAGCTGGCGCAGCAGCGGGGCAGCGGGGCAGCACTGGCCAAAACCGTGTGCTGCGGTCGACAACCCAAGAAATCACTCGTCACTCTCAAATTCCCTGCACCCCGCCCAGCATTGCAGTGTCGCACTTTGACGACACTAAAGAAACAGAAGTGTGCTTATTTGGTTTAGTTTTCTCAATGGCGACTATCCAAAGAACATCAAATGCAAATGAAAATACATGTGCATCGCAACTGAACGATTGCAAACATGTAATCGTGTGAATTTTGCACACACACACACACAAACACTCTCTCGCTTTTTTGAAGCCTATGCAAAAGACGAGCGATTTGGATTCAAGAAACAGCCGACGCAGATTCACCTTCGGCTAGGAAATGAAACCGACAAGCTGGGGGACGCTTCGGAAAACCATCAGCTGCGCCAGTAGGGCCGCTCTGGAGCTCCTCGCCTCGTGGGACTCCGAGAGAAGACTGAACAGAAGGAGCAGTAGCAGAAGGAGTAGCAGCAGCAGCAGCAGCAGCAGCAGCAGCAGTTGCAGGAAAAGCGGCAGTATGTGCAAACCCCAGAGTCAGGCCTGATCGCTCAACTCGCCATGCCTCTGCCACTTGGCCACAGCCTCGCAGAACTACGGGAAGATTTTGCCCGCTGGTGTATACCTACCTGGTTCACATCATGTGGCGCAGAACCCAAAAGTCGCTCGCAGACTCTTGTGTGCACACTATTCACACTCCAGTGCGCACGTGCTTTTCGGTGCAAGTGTTGGCAATGTCTTTTACCGCCCATGTCGAGTCTTAGCAGCCGGGACACCTTGTTCAGATTCTGCAAATCTTTGTGCAAACGACTCCTTCTGCTGAGAGGACGTCTTAGATTCTCTTGGTGCTCCGACTGCTCTGAGTGTGTCCACGCAGCCAAGAGGCCGGCCCAGGGTGGCCAGGACTGCTTGGGGGATTCCTTTGACGATGCACCGATTTTTTTGAGAGCTCAGGCCGGTTGGAAGGATTCTTCGGCCAGCAACTTGGCAGCACAGAATATTGTGCCTGGGCAGATGCGCGTCTTTGGGTGCATCAAAGCTGAGGACACCGAGATTCCAGACACCTGGGAGGAGCTCGAAACCAGCAGCGTGAGCACGGAGGTGTGGTTTTAGAACCAGGGGTTGTGATCAAGAGCCAACACGCCAAAGCAAGCATACTGCACATAATGACGACCAAAAAGAATTAAAATGACATGCGGGAAAAGCAGTGAGAACATGCAGTGCCCGCAACACAAGCACCGACGAGAGCACGCCCAGACAATGCAAGCAAGACGGGCGATTTTATTGATGATTGTTGTCGGATTTGAAGCCAAGGGGACTCTGGATATTAAAATTCTACGCAGAAGGGCAACCATGACCCATGAGAAATCGTGCCGGTGCTGGCCATACGATGCAGCAGGCAAAAGTTTAGTCCGCGGCTTGTTTTCCTTGCGGATGCTGGGAGCAAAGTCGTTGAGGCTGGTCCGCCACAGGTTGGGTTGAACCTGGGTTCGAGGGGTGGAGACGGGGGGGAACAACAACACTCTTGGGGGGTTCCGGGTTGGGTTCAACCCGATTTCGAACCAAGGTTCAAACTTAGAAGCTGCAGGTGCTGACGCATCCTGATAAGAATTCTGATAAGGGGATTTGGGGTTCGGGTTGAACCACAACCTCGCTGCTACGGTGCCTTGGCGTCCAAGTATTTCGCCTGGTAAACTCAAGCAAGCTTCGAAAGTGCAGAAACAGTCATTTTGGACGTTAGTTTCCGAGGGGCCTCTAGGGAGCCTCAGGGCCTCACTAAACAGCAACAGCCAAAGCAGGCACGCTCCACACTTTTCCTCGCTGCTGTTCTTCAGCAGTCCGAGTCTTGAGCCACGCAAGCCGG